TTAAAATAAACCCTATTTAATTTTTTGTATTAAATAGGGGAACTTGTCGGCAAATAAAACGGTTTCGCAGACCAAACGGATGTCATATCTTTCTTAGTTTATTTGATCGAGCCTCATCCTCAAGTCTTGTGTTTATCCCTCGGGGTAGATACAGGATTTGAGGTAGAGTGCTCTTTCATTTAAACTGTGAAAAATATAAGGTCAGTTTGATTTCATATTTTTCTAAAATTATATATATATGTACGTAAATTAAAACGTCCTTCCGAAGCGGGCGATGAGATTTCAATTCCGGCTGCCGACAGCATCTTACGGACGACCCCCAAACAACCTCTTTTTTTTAGTGCCGACAGTTTGCAGTATTCAAAATCAATTTTGACTTCTAACTACATCCAAGCCAAATGATGGAATCTCAAAAATTTCCTATTCTTTCATAACATGATATATAAACTCAAGTAACCAAATAAAGCTTTATGCTGCTTCACATTTTAGGGAAGTTCTACTAGGCACCTGTTTGAAATTTTCTTAAGAAGAATGAATTAAGAAATCAAAGAAATTGATGATATACAATAAAAATCATGGAGCTAATTTTTTGTTGAAGGAGCTTTATAAGATCATCCTTGATTTTAGCTTGTACAACATAGATTATAGATGCAGACTCTTAAGTGAGGTGTATATTCATTTTTTTGTACTGTTATAAAGTGGGTTTTTGCTTCTAAAATATCAAATATATAATTATGACAGTTCTGTTGCAAACAACACTACTGCACTGGGGCAAAATGGTCATTTATCCTGAAACGGCTGCAAATCAGCTGTTTTTCAAGCGCACAAACCAAACAGCCAACCAACTGGCTTATCCGGATCAAATGTTGATCAACCGATTATCTGAATCAGCTGTTTATCTAGATAAGTTGCATAAGTTGTAGTTGCCCCAAAGAGACTCTAAGGCACAACAAAGAAGTTCAAAATTATATGAAAATCACAAGGCATGGTCATCATAAAAAATCAATATATACAAAGTATGATATTTCAGAAAAATAGCCCCATATGGCGTAAACATTAATTTTAAAAAACTAAACAAGTAAATACTAGATATAAAATTGGTATAACAAAAAACAATCATTGAGAATCCAAACAAACCAACAAAAACAAGGTTAACACATAAATTTATGAATTTTTTTAGTTATTTATGGTTTTTTCTAAGATTCTAATTGTTTTCTATGAGAAGAGATCAAATGGGATCCATTTTGATGAAACAAGCCAATAAACCAATTTTTTTTAGAGATTTTTGTTTTGTTTTATTTTATGTTATTAAATACTTTAATATGCCCCTTTTTAAAGCATTAATATTTGTCTTTACAAGTAAATATATTTAGAATGCAACCTTTTTATATCATAATATAATGAAATAACATTATCATAAATCTTATCTTGAACCAAATCCAATAATTTATCTGTAACCATGAAATAAATGTTTTCCTCTGTTTTTTATGATTCCCTTAATGAATCATCCAAGTTTCTTTCACAGCATCTTGCTCTTCTTTTATTGTTCCTTCTTTTTGCATTTGATGTGCCATGGTTTCTTATTGTAATAGCATATGACTTCTTCCTTTTCCTTTTCAAATATAAATGAATTTTTTCCATCACCATAGATGTCCAATGTATCAACTTCCTTGTCAAATCTCTTTGACACAAGTGTAAGCCCGTCATTGAAGTCTTCATCTTCAACCAATTTCGTCAAAAACTCTAGCATTTATCTCCATGTCTTCTTTAAAGTTTCTATTCATGTGCTATTAAAGAGCCTAAAAGAAAATCAAGTAAATATGTGGAAAAATCTTTGGCTTCTATGATAGGTAACCTTGATGTCATTCCTTATTCAAAATCATATATACCTTATTCATAAGTTCTTGGTTGGTGTATGCCTTGCCAAGATATTGCAAGTTATTAACTATTTTTACAATCCTAGTGCAAGTGTCCAAGATAGCCTCCTTGGATTTCATTTGCAGCTACACATACTTGTGACTAATATATTGATGCAATATCCATGAACAATGTTGATCCCCACACCCCACAGCAAATCTTTTTACTTATCTTAAGTATTGACACGTATGTTTAAGTGCACATATGCAAGTGATATTATTGGTATGTAATGCGAGATTTAACTCACTAGAAGTCCATTTTTATAATGACTATATAAAATAACTATATATAGAATGATATTTTCTTGTAAGTTAAAAGGAACATTATAACATTTCATTTTGATCAACTGCAGAAGGTGGCAAGCGTTTCTAATCCTATTGGTTGCCTACTCAGCATGGGCATCCCCGTTCGAGCTAGCGTTTGAAAATGTAACCACCTCCAAGGCGCTCATAGCAATTGATCTGGTGGTTGATGCCTTCTTTATTGCCGACATTGTGGTCTCCTTCTTCGTCGCACATTTGGACAAATCTACTCACCTCCTTGTTTTTGAAAAAAAGAAGATAGCTGCGAGGTCCAAACTTAAATCACTTGATGCATTCCCCTTATAATCAAATTTGCCTAATTTTAACTTTGTAGCTTAATAACCACTACTTGTAAACACTGTCATCATAGCTACGATTTGCATACATAGAATATAGTGGAAAAAGATTATTTATAATAAAAATTTGCATTATTTATTATTGTGATATTTCTTTATTATCAAGGACATTCATGATTATCATATTTTTATTTATGATTCACTTCTTTTACTTGTATTATAGCCACATATAGCTTATACCTAAAAACAAAAGAATTCATATTTCATAGTTTTCCCTCTTCTACATTCATGGTACCTAGAATCCTCCTAATGTTCTCTAAACATCTCCCCATCGATGTCACACTCCAACTTCCAATCTCAATTGTCCAACTTCACCTACTTCCCTTGGACTGCAACCTTACTATGCTATATAGCTTCTCCCTATCTTTAGATCATTGCTTCTATCATAGACTAGTAAAGCACATGGTTTCCTTTTCTCTCTCTCATTGATCAATATACATCTATGCTTAACCTACACTCCCTAGCAATGATTGCACGTGTCATTTTGTCAATGCCATTTATCAATACTCTTCAATCATGTTCTCCATTGATACATATATTAACGCTCTATGTTGATACTTTTATTTGAAAATCTTATCTTTACATATTCTTATTGTTGATGTTTTGTGCTAATTCATCTAATATCTTTTTTCATGGATTGATCATCCTCTTGCAACACTCACAACCTCTAGGCAATAAAACCTTCATGTTTCAATGTTTTCACCTCTGCTCGCTATTATTTTCAAATTTAATTGGATATTTTAATGCCTCCATAAATTTGCAAGGGGTGCTATGATATCTAAATAATCACATAACATAAATTAATCATAATAAAAATATGCATTTTTCATTATTATAATATTTTCTGGTTATTTAAAAAAATCTCATGCTTTATATATATGTACATATGTATATTAGTGTGTGTGTGTGTGTGTGTGTTAAATCTATCATGAAGAACTATGCATTTAATGTAAGAAGAACGTGGCTGAAGAAGAGCATTGCAGGACAAAGAGAAATTGATATTATTTAATATTTTTTCTTTATAGGAACATTAAATTAAACTACAAATAAGTTAGTGAACATGCAATCAAATCCATAGAGATGATTGTAAGTGCATGTTTTCAGACCTTACCTTTCCGAATTCTATTTGTATGGAAATCAGGTATGCCATGACCCTACGCTTTGTAATGGACATAGCCTCAACCCTGCCATTTCAGCTCTTCTACGGCATCATAGCTGGTGAAAGCAAAGATGGTACATCATTAGGAATATTGAGTCTGCTGCGCCTGTGGCGACTAAGACATGTTAGCAACTTATTTAAAAGGTAAGGAAATAGAAGTATTCATTTTTAAATTTGGGCATTTATATACATACTACACAATTCTTATGTATTTAAATATCTAAAACCTAAACTTGATTTTTACATTCACGTATACCACCCAAATCTTTCATATCACATGAAAAATACCACTACTTTAGCTTTTAAAAAGTGATATACACCTTCTCATGGATATGAAGGGAGGGGGGGGGTCACATATGTAAAAAATTGAAGTTTACACGTTACACTTACATAGGTAAATACATAAGAATTGAGTGGTATGCATGCCAAATATGTAAATAAATATGTAAATTCATTTATATACACCTTTTCATGCATTGGTATGCATGTAAACTTAATTCAATGTGTTGCAGACATTTCGAAAAGAACATATATTTAAGATATAAGAAAGTAAAATTTGTTGAGAGATAAGTATACCATGCATGCTAGATCAATTAATATATGCACTATCAGCACTCATGAAACATATCTAAATAATTTAAGTATTTACTGATTAACGGGTGAAATACTAAAAATAACTAGCGAAAATGACTAATGCAAGAAGAAAAAAATGCCCCATTTCAATCAAATGTCTGCTTCAAATAAGGGACTCCAGTGAAATTCCAACCCATCAAGAACCTGCACATATCAGGAATAAATGTAAGAAACACATATACATGAGAAACTATATTTGATTGATAAATAATAACTTCAAAGTTATTGCACTGTTGCATCGCTTTCGGTCAAGGTGCAGTTTTCCCCTCCTTAGTAGCCTAGGATCTAGCCGTAGGACCTTTCTGTCGACTACTCCTAGAAAACTAGTGAAAGAGCCATCCCCGTTAGCAATTCTGAACTTCTCTCGCTCGACTTGACGTTCCATAGAATAGTCTTAACCGCTATTGCTTAGCAGGTAATGCTACTTTGAAGGAACTCAGGGAGTATTCCTATAGGATTGTCCGCCTTAGGATTGACTGTACTCGTTGATTTGGCGTCACCGCGCTCTTTGCCGTCCTGTTTAATCGAATTCGAGCCGAAGTCTTGATAGGATTTGAACCGCGACACAGACCAGGACGCGTTTTTGACCCGATCGACGACGAGGTTGCCCGGACGACCCCGGATGACGAAACGGACTGCGCCTATGCGTCTGGAACATCTATTATTGCTTAGGGGGGATGTTCGTTTCATTGCGACGGCGCGTCTTGGGGAAAATACATATTTAAATGTTAATTATAATAATAAATAATATTTTATTATTATTATTATTATTATTATAATTAATAACTTATATTAAAAATTATTAACCTAAATCTATCTCCTCCCTCCCCGCCTCATTCTCACGAACCCGTGGGCCTGCCTCAGCCCTAGATCTCGCTCGGTTTCGCCTGGCCCGCTCCTTCGTGTCGTTGGAGTTTCGTTCCCGCGCTCGCCTCGCGCACGCGGTACGATCCTGTGACCCATCCCTTATCGTATCTCATCCTCTGCGTGGATCTCATCATCTGCCTCTCGCACGCCCGTATGAGGCGTCTGCTCCTCTCGATCCTTCGACCCGTATGTGATCCCCTAATCATTCCCTCTCCTTCTCGCTGGTTTATATGATACTCTGTTTGATGCGCTTCAAGTGGCCGAAAATTTCTGAGAGGGAGGGAAAACTCTGTCAAATTTATTTCTCAACTTTTTCTTTAATTTTTGGTGCTTGGGTTGGCTTCCTCTTGCTGTTGGAGAGGAGTTTAGGTTGTGAAGTATTTTTCTGAACTTTTTACTTTAGCTCTGCATTAAAGAGGTACTTCTCCCCCTTCTCTGTGCCTTGCTTCTTTTCAATTTCTCTCGGCCAAGCTGCTGAAAATAGTTTTTTTCTTTGGATGGTACAACATGCTAGTCTAATATACTTCATGTATTTTGTGATATTCACCATTCAAGCATATGAAAGTAGGTTTTTGAGCATGTTCTAAGAGTTAGTCCTGATTATTTGCTATAATCAATGAAAATATAGCATGTTATTGGATGCCTTCTTTTTGCTTGAAGTATTTGGAAGTATTATGATGTAGCTTTGAAACGAGATTTGCTCCTCCGAAATACATGTCGGAATGCATCATAAATCTTTTTATTTTTATCACTCCTGCTTAAAATGAATGGTTTTAGCTCCTGTGGTTGCCTTGTTTGTTTGAAATCTATATGGAGTATGAAAAGATTTATTTTGGAAGTCCCTCAGAACTTATTTTGAAGACTTGGTGTTTGATTTATCACTGTTCTTTCTTGTTCAAGTATTGGTTGGAAAAAAAAAATTTTGGAGGCCTTGAAATGTTAACTTTGAGGTTTATGCATTCTTCTTAACTTCACGTCATTTTTCTCATATGAAAACACATGTTGAGGTGGATTTGTTTTAGCCACCGGATGGCACGGTTTGTGGCCTTTGCTGGGCTCGGTTTTTAGCCTCTATTGGGGCTCGGTTTTGGCTCCCTGTGGCTTTTCCTTGCTCAAAATACATGTTATGAGAAAATTTATTTAATTTGGAAAGCCCTGTAACTTGTTTTGATGGTTTGGTTTAGCTCCTCGTGAGACATCCTTTTGCTCAAATATTTGTTGGAAACTGTTTCATGCTTGGAATAGTTAGGTTGGTGGCCCAAATGTGTTCTCTATTTTGTTGTTCTTGTTTAAGATGTATATTGGCTCCATAAATTGATGTTTCAAAGGCATGTGGGTTATTCTTTGGCTTTGAATGACTCAGTTTTACCTTGAGGTGGCTGGAATTTTTATCTCTTGGAATTTTAATTTCCGTTAAAGCTTGGGTTTTAATTTATGCTCGGGCCCTATTTTGGCCTTGAATGGCTCAGTTTTGCTTGCTTTGGCCCTTACCCGAGAGCTTGTTGAGGGGTTGTTCTGTGCTTCTCTGACTCCTACCTGAGAGCTTGTGATGGAGTTTGTTCAGACCTTTTCTTGGTATTACTAGTGAGCTGTTGGTGGGTCATTCGGGATTGTTTGGCTCTTCTTGTTGGGCTTCATTAGCTTGAATTTTGTTGATGAATCAAGTTTGTCATCCAAAAAAAAAAAAAAATTATAATCATTCTATTTATCCTCTTATGTATGTCAAGGGAGCATAGTAGTCACTGGTGGTTCTTTTGGTTGTCTCAGCCGTGAGCCTTAACAGCTCCCCCTTTCCTTTTTGGTTGCCTTAGTCGTGAACCTTGTTGTTCCGGGTTGCCTTTGGTTGTGGGCCGTAGCAGTTGTTCCTTACTGCCCTGAACCGTGAGCCTTAGTAGTTGCCTCCCTTGTGGGTTGCCTTGGCCGAGAGCCTTAGTTGTTGTTCATCTCTTTATATTGAGCTTGGTTGTGAGCATTTATGTGGTTTTAGTCAGATGTTTTTATGTTTATTTAACATATGAAGCTTTTGATTACATTTGGAATTGGATGACTTTGATGTTGGCATGATTTTAGAAGTATAAATGGCTGCCGTCCCTGGGATACTTTCCTTTTGTTCGAGTTGTGAAATTTGAAAATTCATTTTTAGGGGAACATATGGTTGATTTAAATTGAATTCATAAAGGATGTTTCGGGAGTTTGACATTAAAGTTGTGATATCGTTTGAGTGCAGGCCAGGGTGTGTGTAGACATGTAGTTAGTGGTAGAGCCGTGTGTGCGACCGTCACATTAACTTGGGTTGATCCACTTATAAAATGTGAGAAAATGATATCCTTTCGGATTGATTCAAGGATCTTAGGGCCTTCTTTTTCAAGTCTTTTCGTCATGAGTTTTGAGAGCTGATTTATCCTTCTTTCCGATGTTTTAGGTGGATCAGTGCCTCCTCTCTCTGAACTCATTTTTGTTCATTTTTGTTCTTGCTTCTTGGTTCAATTTTTTGTGCTTATGTCTGATACATAAGTGTCCACGTATAGCCTTTTGCTATACATGAAACCATCAAGCAAGGTCGCAAGTAGATCAGTTTTGAGTTTTGAGGTCGGTTTTGTTTTGGGGCTTAGGGCGGTGATGACAAAAGCAAACCAGAGATAGAGCAGAATAATATGTCATCCTACGACATCGGGATCCGATTCAGGGAAGATCCGATTCAGGAACCTGGTGAGTTGTAGGATGACGGTATAATTCACCCACATAAGTCTTGCGGGAGTTGAGCACACAAGACTAGCGGAAACCTTCTTAGACCTTCTTAGGTTGTTGGTAGTCTTATGCCCGACAGCACAATCGACTCGTGGACAACTACTTCTCAAAATTAATAAAAACAAATTTGATAAGAACAGATACACCTTTTTCTAAAACAAAAATACATTTTTCGCTAAAAACAAAAAAAACAAAATTGATACGCTAAAAACAAAATTGATACAGTCCACTTTTTGCATGCTTAAAACATATGTGCATGCTGAAAATATAAATTTTAAATACATTTTAAACATTGATTGTCCATCTGTTTAGGCTAAGGAGTACCCTCCTGAGTTAGGTTCGCTGGGACACCCTTCCAGTTAAGTGGCGGGCTTTATACATCCGGGTGACTGAGTAGCCTTCGCCGACCCTCGAGTACTAATATATAGTTGAGCCTAGCCCCAACACTCGCGGTCCTCTTTCGGGATTTTCCCGTGTTTTCTACGATTTTAATCAATTTATCGATTCGTCGATTTCCTCGCATTTCTCTTGTCGTGAGTCTTTTGACGATCTTCCTCGAGATTTTTGGACGATGTTTCTTTAAAGCATTTCAGTCTGCTTCCTCAAATTTTGTTGTTTGTACCTGTTGCATCAATTACACCTAAGGAACAACGGATCTCTCAGGTATACAAGTTTGTTTTATGTTTACAGCATGTTATTCTCTTATAATCACTTCCCTGCTGTACTTTTTACTTTTATTTACACCGCATATTATACTGCTTTCATTACTGCATACTCTACTGTTTGTCATGTGCTACATACTCTACTGTTATGTTATACACTGTACAAATTCAACATGCTCCCTATAAAATATCTGAATAACTACAACCATAGGGTCGCTGGATTTGACATAATAACCTGACACCCTAGAAAACTTAAGCTCGTCAAGACAAGGAGCTTGGAACTAGCACGGTGGGCAACACGACCATCTTCTACAGCAGAGCATGTCTTCCCCAGCTAAACCATTCATTTCCTAGAAATTAAAACAAAAATCCATAAGATTTCGAGGTTGTTTGTCTAGCGCAACATAAATCCTCAACTTCTCTTTAGGCCATTTTCTTTAGGCATTTGTATAGCTCTGTTGTACGATTTAAGCCCTAAACTCGTTCTAGGTTCCCTCATCTTAGGATTCTAATGTTGTCGTTCGTCGCGACCTAAATCCTCACATCTCCCAAGCAATTGGTGTGATCGTTTCACACGAATGTAAGCCCTAATTAAATAAAATTGGCAGGATGAAACACTTGAATATTTTTCCTTGAAACTGAAGCCAAACCATAGGGTAGACTGGGAAGTCACCGAGCTTCTCCTTCGGATCTATGTCATCCCCTAGTTCTTCCTCCTTTGGATTCTACAATAAATGTTCTAAGTTTGAACCATTCCCCTTTTGCACACCACTTTGTCCGATTTCGTTGAAAAGTCCTATCATTTTGACATCGAATACAATTTTTCCTGATTTTTATCGAGAGTATTCTTAAGTGACTTCGGTCATTTAAGATGTAATTAATTATAGGGGCTTGCCCTTATAGAAAACTTTTCCGAACCCAGCTTAAAATAAATCCTATTTAATTTTTCATATTAAATAAGGAAATTTGTCGGCAAATAAAACGGTTTCGCAGACCAAACGGATGTCATATATTTCTTAGTTTATTTGATAGAGTCTCATCCTCAAGTCTTGTGTTTATTCCTCGGGATAGATACAGAATTTGAGATAGAGCGCTCTTTCATTTAAAATATGAAGATTATGGAGTCAGTTTGATTTCATATTTTTTAAAACTTAAATTTATATGTAAATTAAAGTTTCCTTCCGAAGAGGGCGACGAGATTTCGATTCCGATGACCACAGCTTCTTACGGGCAACTCCTTTCAACTTTTTATCGCCGACATGCACGAATAACTAAAAGCAATATCATCGTCGTACTATACATAGAAGACATGCACCAAATCAAACTCTCAATAATATCTTACAATTAACTCCTTAAAATCTGAAATATTGTTAATGACAAGGTAAATGAATTTACCTATGCTAGAAAGGAGGGATAAAGGCCATTCAACCCAACGAATGGTACAAAAATAGAAACTCAAAGAAAGTTCCAAATTGAGAGTAAAATAATTAGATAGGCCTTGCACAAAAGCCATACATCATACAAGCAAAGAGGGGGAAAATGAGGGCATTAAACTAGATAAATAATGAAAAGAAATTAAGGCAAATTTTTTTATTTTTCTCAATCTAATTTTTCTTTCTTTTATCTTTATCTACACGTACACCACACGAAAAGTTTTTTTAACTTGAGGAACCTCACAAAAGAAATTATATATAAGAAAATACATAAATTAATAAATAAATACTCATAGATGTTACATCAATTACTATATTCAAGAACATTATTAAGGGCTCAAACATGCACTATATAAAACTCTCAATACATTCTCACCAATTTCATTGATTAAAGACTAAAATATCGCTAAAAGCCTCTGATAAGGAAGAAAAATCATTTAAAACAATATTAATATTTCAAGACAAGCTTCTTTTTGTTCAATGTTATCAGAAAGCATGAGCTACAAATTCAAGTACCAGAAAAAATACTGACTAAAAGCTGCCCCAATGTGCAGGCTCGAGAAAGACATACGCTTTAGCTACTTTTGGACAAGATATGTGAAAATCATCTGTGTAAGTGTACATTATAGCATGATTTGCCAAATTTCATACTAAAACGAGCAGAGGAGTTTGGCATCAAAGTTTACAATGTGATACCTAGCATAAAACACAAGATATTATCTCAAAGGAACATAACTGCAGCCTTTTTTGGCAAAGCTTTTACGCAGTGTACCTTTTATTTATAAATAGCAGTCAACAAATGTATTAGTAATTACCATTCCCATACACTGTTAGGTTTACAATTTTTTACACATATCAACTTCTCTTATATTTGCTTCCAAAGACTCAACTAATATCACATAAAATTACCATCATGATCAACAGCCTTACTCCGACTATTTGAGGTTAGCTCTACAAATCCACATTTTCAATTCATTCATGCTAAGCATTGCCTGAGAAATTAAACCTAATTTTTGAAAAACAATTATCAAAATTATCTTAAGTTCACCGCATTTCCTTCTTGATATTTTGACATGAATAATATTTATCCATAGAATGTGTATATTTTCCACCGTGGATTGTACATTTCCAAATGACTGCAGTCAATATATATATTAGTAATTACCGTTCCCGTACACTGATAGGTTAACATTTTTTTACATGTATCTACTTCTCTTGCATTTATAAAGACTCAACTACTATCACATAAAATTATCATCATCAACAGCCTTACTCCAACTAGTTGAGGTTAGCTCTATAAATCCTCATTTTCTATTCATTCATGCTAAGCATAGCCTGAGAGATTAAACCTAATTTTTGAATAAAAATTAACAATATTATCTTAATTTCGCCACATTTCCTTCTTCATACTTCAACATGAATTTTATTTATCCAAAGAATGTGTATATTTTCCACCATGGATTGTATATATCCAAATAACCTAAATCTATTTTGAAATACCCTACCATTGTCAGATACCACTCTAACCATCCTTCTAATATAATCATTCCATAATTCATACCTCTAACTTAGCTTTCTCATTTTGTATATGCTTAAACTTACCTATTAACAATGTATTTACTTTTGAACGCTTACTCGGCCTACATGGTTATATAACTTTTACCTTTTAGATTTCATGATATCCTCTTATCAGACAATACTTCCAAGGCACATTCCTAGTCTTAATTCTAGAAGTTATATCCTTGTTTACATCCTTATTCTTATATGAAATAAATGCAAGTAAATAATTCTATCACACATACATTTTATCTTCTAATAATATTGATTATTAATATCATACCTATCAAAATTGTATATCACGTACTCAGACTCCATTCTAATAATTATAAGTGCTCTATGTTCTAAGAAATCCTTCATTCAAGCTTTCACTTATTTTAGTGAATCTCGAACTAATTAAGACTATAACATTTGGGAAAAATTGTACATAAAAACGCATCACTTTGAATATATTTTATAAGCATATGCATAATAAAAAAAAAGATATAAGCTCGGTTTTGATTCTTGATATAATCTTATTGTAATTAAAACAGTTTTATTAATCAGTGTTTCATCATATATATCTTTAATAACTTCAAGTTATCTTTGACATGTGCCTTTCTTTCTTAATGTGCACTAAGCGATTGTTTGGGTCAATATTTTTTAGATGTCAATGTTATCAAAATGTCATTGCAATTAGATATTAATGTTATATTCCAACACTAGGTGTTTGGTTCAATGTTATTATAATAAGATTTGCTTCTTTAATGTAGATGGAGATATGATAAGTTCAAGAATCATGTCTTTAATCCCTGTTTTGTTATTGTGCTCATCCATTCTCATGTCCCCGCATGAGGCTCCGCCTCCTTTTTCCCCGATGTATTGCTTATGTCCCATGATCGTGCATGGGGCTTAGAAGTTGCCTCCACTCTTTCTAGGTTCACGTCTCAAAGAACTAGGGCATTGCCCGTGCCTTTCCATTCACTTGCAAATCAATTTTTTCACCTCCGGATAATTTTTCCATCTTCTCGTTCCAAATTCAAACCATTTCAGTCCCCCATACTACTTAAAAAGCACATTTTAACCTCTCCTCCCTCCATCCTTAATCAATCCCTCCCTTCTACCACATTATCTAAAACTAAGGTGATGGTTACACCCCTAAATAGATCTTCGCGGCCACTTAACCCAATGCCTCCTAGTTTCACTAAAGCAACTCCTAATGTTTCCTCTCCTTTAAGAATTGTGACTACAATTGCCACAAATGTGGTTGATGAACTAAATGTTTCATAACAACATTATTCATCAAATAATCAATTTTTGCTATTTTTTACTGAATTACAAAATCACTTCAACAAAAGCAACCTTTCATATATCAAAGCAAAATGCTCACATCTTTGCTAACAAGGATATTGTTATGTCGGTGCCTACCCTAAGTGTAATATTCTCATTTATTAGCCTACGAGCAACTAAGTTTATTATTATTATTATTATTTTATTATTTTATTTTTTATTTTTATTATTTATTACTATTTATTATAAAAAGATCCTAATAGGTTTAGGATTAGGGTAACATGAGATTATTGTTGTGATTCTTTGATTTAGGGTCTGATTGGGATCACTTTCTCTTTTCTATTTTTGTATTTTTTTCTGCAGTTTTGTTTTTTGTTTTGCTTAGTGTTTTCTGTTTTTAGAAAACGCATTTGATATTGTAATGATTTATAGGTTTTCAAAAACAAAAATATAAAACATGTTTGATTTGGTATTTTTTATTTTTTTAAAGAAAAAATTATATTTTTTTTATAAAACGGTTGGGTACACATGCACTCCAGTATTAAGCTGTCGCGTATGGCATATACGACATCTTCCTTGTTCCACCCAGCATGAAGCAATACCTGTGAGCAGGCACGCGAAGAGGCGGCAGTTCACAGGTAATGGTATCAATTGAGAGAAAAATATCAACCAAACCAAACATGGGTAAAATTCAAGGAATGACTGGTGGAGCGCTACAGAACCACACGCGAAAGGAATTTACATGAACAATTTCTTGCCTTAGTCCAGGAATGATCCATTATGGAGCATATGGAGAAATTTGAGATGCTATCTGACCGTTTGAGAGAGATATCACAAGAAGTGTTGAAAGCCAACTCCATTAAAGGGTTGAAGCCAGATAGATATTCAAGCACCACTTCGCCTGTTGAGATCCGAGGATTGGGGGAAACTATGGAATTAGCACAATTGGTTGAAAATAAAAAAGCAACAGAACATGCTAATAGGAGCAGCACAAGTGGAGCACCATATCAAACTACTATAACCATAATGATACTGAAAGCTTAAATAGTGAAAGTCAAGAGAAAGGCTTCATGAGACAAGAATCACGGGTCACAACTGGGAGCGACCCTCAAACGCCTTATAGAGACATAAATTCAAGAGAAACGAGCCAAATGATCATGTTTTTTGTGTGATAAGAAGTTTGCCTAAGGACGCCGTTGCAATGATCGAACATTACAGGTTCTCACAGTGTGTAACGAGAAGGAAGAGGATGAAAAAACATAGAAGATTGTGGTGAAGGAGGAAGAACATTTTCATTTCTTTCCACCTAAGGGTAAGGTGTATTTTTGGGAGAGGAGTATTGCTATGTCGGTGCTTAGCCTAATGGCAATTTAGTCTTTTGTTAGCCTAAAGGCAATTTAGTCTTTTATTATTTATTATTATTTAGTATAAATAGACCCTAATAGGTTTAGGATTTGGGTATGCATGAGATTATTGTTGTGTGTCTTAGGTTTAAGGCATGGGTAAGATGTCCTACCTCTCAAATTGTAGGAATTGGGAATCTTTTTATTCGTGTTGAAAGTTTGATGTTCTTGCAATAAAATATGTGTTTGCCCTAATTTCTAAGGAAAATCTTCCCAAGAATCCTATTAGAGATCTCTATGCTTGTTGGACCACTTTCTTTTTCAATTGTTAGCAAATTATCCATAAGCCATCCTAATTGGAAGTAACTCACAAAATTACGATCATTTACACTCGGTGAGGTATTACTCTATTAGACTTATTGACACTCGTTGTGTTGACATTAGATATTTTAGAAGTAGACTACATCAGACTTCTCCCTCGACATTTATACTATGCCAATACTTATAAAATAATTAATCACATATTAAATGGTAGCCTTATAAATGTCCTAGAATTTCAGTTTGGATCACATTCTTGTGATTTCATTTGGCATTGTTTCAATCAATCCAGTTTATATTCTCAAGATTTTATGTTCAAGAAACATTTTCAAGTAGATGTTGCTAGTGCTATTATTTCTAAGCCTTTAGAGGATAGAGTTTTGGCGGAACTATGTATTACTTCCAATATTGAAAACGAGGAGTGAATTGGCTCATTGCCTTCTGAATATTGATAGAGGGTTGAACTTAAAGGCATCCCAACTTACCGCTCGGGCATAAATTCTCAATTTATTTCAAGACATATTTGGAGACGAGAAAATTTAAGTATCAAGCACAAAAGGTATTACCAAAAATTCAAAATTGGCATCCTACCCTTTTGGTGGATAATACTTCATCAAATTAGGTTTGCAATCAGAATTTGAAAACAATTTTAAACTCATATTATGTTTATATCACCAATTTCATAATTATCATGAATCATCTCAAAGCTGATCTATTAAAACCTATATGTTCACCTAGTATAAACATATTTTCTTTCTTGAGTATACGTTGTAACAATCCATTAATCTCTTCCCAAATAATATGTTTTATATTATCTTCTGGACTATAAGTACTAACCAAATTTAAGTTGTCCTCATTAATAGCTATCTAAATCAAGTTGTGATATGTCACTTGTAGCTAATGTTCTAGCCACCTGTAATATATACTTCTCCATAATTCTAAGTTAAGTTGAGAGGACTCACTTGCAGGTGAGCCAATTCTTACCTACTTTTGACTGAAAATGGTTCAGTTATGATATGTCACATATTAGTGAATTTATTTAATGAATTATAAACATTAGAAGTGTTGTCAGCTTTTCAAAAGGCTCGATCAAAGCTCTTCACCATTGACGATCACCCTTAAGAAAACCCAAAGGAAGGAGCATTCGTGCACACACAAAGAGCATATCAGTGGTTGGAGATTTATAATCACCCACAAAATCTTTATATTTCATTTCATCCATCAAACAACTCAAAGCCATGGTGCATAGCAAAGAGTTGCTTATGCTATGCAAACTCATCACCTCCTATCACAGATAATAGTTTTGGAAAGAAAGATTAGTACTAAATATCATAGATTGAACGGTCAACCATGCAAGAACACCAACTAAAATTGACAAATTTTCATAAGAGTGTTGTATGATTAAGATTAAGGAAATGTTTAGCTAAAGTTTGAAGCATTTCTAAATAAAGTTAAACTGCAACTTACCTGTCAAAATGCTTATATTCTCCAGGTGACACTATTTGCATTGCATTCAACAGCTTGTGTGTATTGCTGGATGGCCTACCACCATCGAATAATAGAGAAAACATGGCTTGGCAAACCAGTACCAGATTTCAAGGAGCGGAGCATCTGGCTTGGCTACACCTATGCAATATACTTCTCCATCTCGACCCTAACCACTGTTGGTTATGGAGACCTCTATGCAGATAACATGTGGGAAAAGATATTTTGCATTCTCCTCATGTTGTTCAACATTGGGCTCACTGCCTATCTCATTGGAAACATGACAAATCTGATTGTCCATGAGGCATCACGCACTTTCATGATGGTAACTATTAGTAAAAGAAAAAAATAGAAAGGGGATTTTACATATATATCATAAAAAATACTAATAGCTCTAACTTATATAAAGCAAAATACACAGTATGATGTATATAAGTAAATATAAAGTTTTAAGTGTAAGATATATATAAATTATACATAAGAACTTGGTGATATGCATTTCAATCACCAAAAATATAAATACTTTATCAATCTTGTTTCAATTTAAAATCATCCCTCAACACATGTTCTTAACATGACGTGTTATATATTCTTCATAGAGGGAGGCCTCACATAAATTGTCAAGATATGCAAGTAAAAATGGACTTCCTGAGACCCTGAGAACACAGATGATGCAACATGTAAAGCTTAAGTTCAAGACAGCAGAGTTACAACAAGAAGAGGTGCTCAACAGCCTACCAAAGGCTATTCGATCAAGCATCACACAATACCTATTCCAGAAAACTGTGGGCTTAGCATACCTTTTCAAAGGAGTCTCAGAGAACTTCATATTACAGTTGGTACTAACATTTCTTTTGCTTTCACTTCATAATAGTTATAGTAATTGGGAAGCTTTGTCAAACAATCTAAGTAGGTATTCCAATCATCAAAATAGCTTTTATTATAATTATTACATAACATGCTTATATAAGAATCTTGGCAGTCTGCTCAATGCTCATAGTTTCATGCATGCTGAGAAACCAAAGTTTTGGCAACTTATAGGCACGCAAATTAGGTAAGATCTAACCTGAATGTCTTTCACCTTGAAACCTCCAAAGTGCTTAGAAGGTTCTACTCAAGCAACTTGAAAAACTTTGTTGAAGGCATTAACAAAATTCAATCAATCCTTTTTTCTCATTTTTGTTACAGATAATATGCAATATGTACTAAAGAACATTGAAGCCCTGAAGAACTTAATGTTTGTTTCATTCTTCTTCTTCTCACAAAAAGCAAAACTTTATAAACAAATTTTTAATTTTTGTCTTTTGACTTTTATAATTCAGCTCATTGATCAATTCCTCCTCTTTCATGCAACTGGGCAGCAATCCAATATAACTGTTCCTTTTGCTCTTATTTCACTGTTGCTTCTCCATCATGTCAGAATTTAGGATTATATATTGTGTTGGGTGCTTTGCATAATTTTATGCTATTGTTTTTTTATTATTACAATGTAATGTATAACGATTATTAAGATAATGCAGTCCTTTTGAACAATAAATATGAACAAATTGCACGCTATTTTTAACTTTAGCTTTGTTTTTTCCTTTTTTTTCGCTATTTAAATGCTAACTCATTTTGGATAGATTCTTTTTTTGTTCTCCAATGGTTCTCATTTTGAGTACGAAAATGAAATTCCACTTTGAAGGACTTTTGAGAAAAGTTGTAGAATTTAAATCAATGTTGATGTCTAACCATTGTTAGGTATTGACTCAATATACATTCATGAATCACACAATGAGGTCGGTATCAAATTTCTTGCGTAAAAGCTTAGAAAATAGTTAGATAATTCATTAGGTATTAAATCAGCATCCATGCACAAATTACATAAAAGGGTAAGTATCAAGATTCTTGCGTGAAATTTTGAAAATGTTACATGTTAGGTAAGTTTGTAGCTATATACATTAAAGCATGGATGTATAGTTGGCACCGAAGCATAAAAACAAATTTGAGTTTTTTTTTTTTTTTTTTCAAGTGAAGAAAGAATAGAGAAGAGAGAGAAGATGGGGAGAAAAAAAACCACATTGTTTAGGTGAGTTTGAACTGCACAATTTGACGGACCAAAGAAACCATGATAAGGAACTCCCAACGCTTATAATTTTCTAGTATTTGTTTAATCCACTTGTTTATATCACTTAAAAGCTATTTCTGTCTTAATAGTCATGAGGGTCTTATGCACCATGATTGTAGCTTCTTTGTTAATGAATCAGATCTTCTCTTCTCCAATAAGCGTAGGCTTATTTAAGTCAAACTATATAATTATTTTTATTATTTTCATGGTGATTAATCTCTTCTGCAGTTGCTTCATGATTCAATGTATTTGCTCTTGGGTTAATGCTTATGTAGCACAAAATTAGGTGCAGTCTTTTCCTAACAATCCCATCCAATAAAATGATGAATTGAGCAAACTTCATCATTTTTCATTTTTAAAAAAATCCAAACTTCAAGCAAATAAATCAACCTTTTGGCGATCTGGCGTCATGAGTTTCCTACTTTGTACTTGCTAATGAAAAAAATATAAAAAAGTGATATCTGATCAACTAGTCAGCTTTCTCAGTAAAATTGCTTCATTCTTCTTACTTTTCGCCAAATTCTCCTTGCTGATTATGATGCCATATTCCTCAAAGTCAATTATTCAATACTCTTCTCCTTTCAAAAGGTTTCAGAAATGAAAGCAGAATACTTTCCACCTAAAGCAAACGTCATCCTACAAAAGGAGATCCCCATGGACTTTTATATTATTATTGCAGGAGAACTGGTAAGAATTACTCCAGGATTGTGCACAACAGTTTATATATCATTATTTTCCTCATATAACAAAACTTTTAATATACAGGAAGTCTTGACAAATGAAAATGGAACAGAGAAGGTATTCCTTAATATTGCTTTTAAGAGTACATTTTAAAGTCCAGAAAACAAGAGGTAACCTGAGATCTTCTGGGAAAAAAACCATATGAGTCAAGGCGGAAAATGTAAGCAAGAATAGACACAAAGGCTGAAAGAAAGCATAAAGTATCATTATGCTTTCTAAGCATTAAGGAAAAAAAAAGTAAGAGGAGAGCTTTGAGCGGAGCAGATCAAAACATAAACTCAAAAACGGGTCAAAAATAATGTTAAAAAACTATTTTCATTACCTTATCTTCCTATTCATATTTTCTATATCCCTGAGATTTAAGGTTTTTTTTTTTTTTTTTTTTTTTTTTTTTTGCAACATATGTCTGTTAATTCTTGCTAACTTTATTGTCTAGAAGAAACAATAATCCTGTGGAACATAATTTCAGTTTCTGTCAAAACTTGGGCCTGCTGACATGGCAGGAGAAATTGGAGTAATTCTCAACATACCACAGCCTTTCACAATCAGGAGCAAAAACATTTCCCAAGTAGTTCGAATAGGCCGTCATCATTTCGGTCAGGTTGTGGAGCTACATATTGCAGAGGGGAAGATGATTCTGTCTAACTTTCTACAGGTTTCAAACTGAACAATAAAAATGTGTTCATCAATTTATTCGAATGATGAAAGAAGAAAACAATGTTTCATGAAGCCAGTAAAGAAAAATGAAGACAGCTCATGAAAATCTCCATATTCAGCATTGGAGGCTGGAATCAATTTAAAAATAAAAAAAAAACCAATTACACAAGTATGTTACTATAGAAAAGTAGAAGTAAGCAAGTCAGTATGTGTCTGTTTTTATCAAACAAAGAAGTAGCATGCAACCAAAAAGTAAAAAGAAAAAAAGAAAGAAAGATGCTATGAGGTATATAAATCAGCTATTTAAATATTTAGTTTAAGAAAAATATTAATGGGTTATGTTCAACATAAACCACAGTATGTTAACTATGAGAAAATTGAAGTTGGTTCATATAGCAATGATTCCTGACACAAACTTATTTATACCCAGTTTCTTAAAGGACTGAAAGAAGAACTTTTGGAGGAGGTTCCATTTCTAACGCAACTGCAGCCCAACATGGATGACGTAAGTGTAATTTCTTTTGCATGAAAAAACTTATGAAAGCATACATGCAGTCAAAATTAGAGAGATATCCATTTTACCAGAAATAATGCATAAAATCTGTACAGTAAATCTGAATAAAGCATAATGGCCTAAATTTCACACACAAAAAAATTTCATTAGAAAGCTTTCAAAATGTTCACAAAAATATCTCTTTTCAGATGAGAGGACTAAAATGAAACCTGGATAAAAAGAATCAAGTGGCAAAATGGTAATTAATTACAGTGAAACTACCAAGAAATCATTCATTTGTTTGATACTAACAGTTTATGGTGATCTGAAAAGTGCCAATTTATCTAAAATTGTTTCTCTAATGGCAACTCTATTCTGTAGATAGAGCAAGGCTTGGATACAAACTCGATTGAAGACATGAGAATGATGACGGATAAGTCATTTGATAGGACTGATCCACCATTCTTAGTCTAAGTTTGAATTGACATTCTCTAAAAATGCAAATGACTATTTGATGCATTACAAACAAACAAGTAAGCCAAGAAAAGTTTGCTACAAAGATAGGCAACTTAAACAATTGTTAAGCATTGTAACATAGAACATTCACAAGTACTAACATTGCACCGCCTTCAAATATGTAAATCTCTAATCAAACATAAATAGCTGCAAATCATTGCCATAAAAAAATAGGATAAAAGAAGTTTTTAAAAAGTCATTTTGCGCCACTTTTCTAAGAATAACAATGAAGTGAGATAAAAAAACCAAATCAAACTAAGCTAGTGGCATGCTAAAAATTTAAAACAAAAAATTAATTAATTCCAATAACATGCACTGCAATTTTAAAGTTTTGTAAGCAGCACTTGGTTGAAATAGAAGTGACAAAAAAAAAGCTGTTTTAATATAACAAAATAGTGTTGGATCTCACTACTGTCCGAATACCTGGCAGTATATTTAATTTCCTCATATAAAGTAGCTCATTAGCTGTTTTAACATAACAAAATTGTGTTGGATTCTAACTGCAATTCGTCATTGGTGATAACAGCTGGTGGTGCCAGCCAAAGAAGAATGGGACTATGATAGAACAGATGGGAACAGCAAAGGTGATAACATGGAAGGTTTGATTTCTGGACTACTAATTCTACTAAGGCCTGTGAAAACAATTTGAGAATGGCATATTGTAGAATTTAAGAATGGAAAATAAATTCAATAACAATTACCCATCTTGCGCTACAACAAGCATCAAACTTATAGTAAATACAAAGAGAAAAGACTAACAAAAATTGCCCAAAACATAGTGTCGGCCGTTTTTATTTTAATTATTTTTTTTTAAACTTCGTGATTTTAAAAAGTGAATGATTTTAGGATTTTGAAAATAATTTAAATATCAATATAACCATTTTTTTTATTTTTAAAAGTAACATTTTAATTTAAAAATAGGTGAGACCAATTGGATCTCACATTTTAAATAGTTTAGACGAGTGAATACGATACTACAAGTAAAACACTTATCCCGAAAGATAAATATCACTTGTAATAGGGATTCAATCACCTAGACAAAAGAATTTGTGACATCCGTTCGGTCTGCGAAATTGTCTTATTTGCCGACAAGTTCCCCTACCTAATACGAGGATTAGATAAGGTTTATTTTATCTGGGTTCC